GTTGGAAATCGCTGATTTTTAGAAATCACCCTGAATTTCAGGCAGGCAGGAATCATGTCATGAACGTTATTTAACAAAAGTTTGGGGTCAGTATTATTTTTTTTAAGAAATGAATACTTTTATTCAGCAAGGAATTCAAATTAAATAGATAAAAGTGACTGTAAAGACATTTATAATGTTAGATTCTGTTTCAAATAAATGCTGTTCTTTTGAACTTTGTTCATCAAAGGATCATATTTTTTATATTTTTATACTATTTGTTTAACTTACAGGTTTTCTTTAAAAATATAAATAAATACCTAAATATATATTTTTATTTATATATTATATATTACTTATATATGTGACCCTGGACCACAAAACCAGTCATAAGTCACACAAGTATATTTGTAGCAATAGCCAAAAATACAATGTATGGGTCCAAATTATCGATTTTACTTTTACGCCAAAAATCATTAGGATATTAAGTAAAGATCATGTTCCATGAAGATATTTTGTACATTTCCTGCTGTAAATATATCAAAACTAAATTTTTGATTAGTAATATGCATTGCTAAGAACTTAATTTGGACAACTTTAAAGGCAATTTTCTGAATAGGCTATTTTGATTTTTTAGCACCCTCAGATTCCAGATTTTCAAATATCTCGGCCAAATATTGTCCTATCCTAACAAACCATACATCAATATGGTTTCAACCCAACTTTGGGTCAAATATGGACTAACCCAACCGTTGGGTTACATTTTTTAATTAAATTTTTAACCCAAAAGTTGGGTTAGTCCATTTTTGACCCAAGGTTGGGTTGAAACAACCCAGCATTTTTTAGAGTGTTATTTAGGCTATTCAGCTTTCAAATGATGTATAAATCTCAATTTCAAAACATTTACCCTTATGACTGGTTTTGTGGTTCCGGGTCACACATATTAAATAGGTTAATGGTGCTACATTAGTCAAACATAATAGAAGGTAGGCTAATACATTTTGTTAAGTCAAATGAAATGTTAGAGAACATATAAGAACTGCCTGAGAGTCTGTTAGAAACCCCTGCAGATGATGGATTAGTTTCGTTCAGTTGTTAGTCTGCTGAATTATTTTCACAAATAAAGACTGCCCAGTCTGAACATCGAGCGAAAACGCTGAAAAACGCATCGTTTATGAATGTATGCCAAAGGTCACCGCAGTCTGGGATGACGACAGCTCAGGAGGATGCATCAGATCTGCGGCATTAGGACCGCGCGCTGCACTCCTCTTCCTCAGAAGAGAGGAGGGCGTATGCCGCTGGCACGGGCTGAGAGTCAAATAGGCTGACATTCGAGAACAACTCAACGGTGTGCTGGAGGTGGCAAGAGCGATGCGAGGGCAAGGCTGGAGCTGAGCCTGCGAGACATAGCTAGGATATCCGTCAAACTGAGCTCATTTAGTCGCCAAAGAAAGCCTAACGTTCTACAGTAAGCGTTTAAAGGACGAGAGACCATGTCGGTGCTGGCTTTACAAGAATACGAATTCGAGAGGCAATTCAATGAAGATGAAGCCATTCGATGGATGCAGGAGAACTGGTACAGTAGCTCTGATGCATGATAAATAAGCCGGGCCATAATAATCACAGCTATGATGCCGACAAAGCCGTTCATCAGATAGCGTGTTTGCACTGACTGACTAGCATATTAAACATCTGAACCATGCATTAAGCCGAACGCTTAAAAACCGTCGGGGGACTCTTGGAAGTCACTGGCAGGTACCATCCAGACCACGATGCACAGTGTGATTCCCCCCCTCGAGACTCAACAATATTGTTTCGGCATTGCGTTCTATTTAATAACACAAATGATCTACGTGTAATGAGCGGTGCAATGTTTGAAGATCGCTGCACTCTTAACTTAATCAGATTCAAAGCCTATTCAATGTGATGCTCTGCTTATGTCCCTCGTGACATTTGGAACTTTCATCCTCCACGATGCCGCACGGCTTCATATCCTTATTTGAAAAACACGATTTTTTTCGTAAACAAAACTGAATGTTTGTTTCAAAGCGGTGTATCCAGCCTTAAATAGCGCTTGCCCAAAGTAGCGATGTCCGATTCGGGAAAGATTCGTTCTTTTAGAGTCGGATCTTTCCAATAAATCGGTTGAACCGATTCACAAAACAGGTTTAAAAAGCTTTGTTCACGAATCGGACTGAAATGGAGGTTCTGGAGTCTACAACTAACCGATTCATTCTCCTCCGAACATGTCTGATTCGTTATGAGATATGAACTGACTCGGGTGAATTGTTTGACTAATAGGACGACAAGGTACAACAAGCATAAATGTTACATTATCAACATGTGTTACTTGATTTTGTGACAGTTAGGCTACACACACACACATCTAACATAAAGGCTCTTATTAATAAAACATAATTTAAAACGTAATACAGGAATAGGCCTATATAAACACGGATAGCCTACGTTTTAATTGAAACGTTAAAGTAGGGTAGGCTACGCCGGTTTGTCGGGGACTACGTGGTGACAATCACGCCATGACGTAAAAGATTTGTTTTGAACCGTTTTTTAAACGAATCGTTCAAAAGAACCGATTCGCGGAAATGAGTCGGACTTCCCCATCACTAGCTCAAATCCTAGCCTAGCCCACAATCTCTGTAGCAAAAATGTGAAAGCCATAATACAGGTAATCATATGGAATCAGACAGAGACATGCAAGCAAAGCGTTATTACATTCGCTGCATAGGAAGACTGCGTGGTCTTTATAAAATCTATCAATACATAGCTAGGTGCATTTGCATTATTCTGTAGTTATTGGCAGAAATCATCGCTGGTTTTGTGCATTTGCCACGTTTCCCTGCTTGGAAACTGTAGCGCTTGTTTAAAGTATCTGACACGGTAACGTCAACACGATTACTCGCCATGGATCAATTTCACGCTTTTGTAATTATGTAGCGCGTTTGGAGACGGAGAAGTGAGGCTGGTGTGGAATTCATAGCAACTAACCAATGGGATGCGGTTGTTCATGTCTGCTGACACACATTTGACCAATCACGTTTCCGCGTCATTGGCTGACTTCTCGGGGTTGCTTGCATCACATCTATCATCTTGTGTCCTCCTGTGAGGAGAAACATCTACTGTCTTGAACGTACCGTATGTTTGAGGTTTAATAATTCTGTTTTGTTGATTAGGCTATTTCAGCCTGTTTTTGATCACTTAAGAGTGTGCTTGTGTGTTTAACTAAAACACTGAAATGCAGATTTAAAGGCATAGTTAACCCAAACACTACAATTCTTTATTAGTCATTATTTACACTCAAATAATTTTTCATACACTTTCCAACACTTATTACCTTCCATGGAACACCAAAAATGATTTCAGACAGACTGACAAACTTTCATCACCATTCACTTTCATTAAATGGGGAAAAAAATATGCAGCGATAATGAATAACTGTCATTCTGCCTGACCCCTCCTTTTGGGTTCCACCAAATAAAGTCATACCAATATGAGAGTAGTAGCCTAAATGATGACAAATTTTCCATTTTTGAGTGAACTATCACTGTAAGACAAAATAAATAAATACCGGAGACACATTTATAGACAGACACCTGACAATTCAGCACAGGCTTGTAACCACACTTCCCTCCAGGTATTTAGTTAACTTACAACCATCACAAGTTCTGTGGTTTCATAATACTTGTAGTCACATAACTTTATGAGTAAGACTAAGATAATGGCCCTCTCTGTTATCTAGTTTTTTTTTTTTTTTTCAATTTTATTCATCTTGTAGCTACAACTGTTCTTTTTTTTCTAAATGAGTTTAATGCTTTTGTCTTTATATGCACTTCCTACCGGTGTAACCGAATATGTAATTACCCAATCTACTAAATGCATGCCCTCCTTTTGTAATGTAATTTAACATCCTGTATATTTCTATAGCATGTTGTAGTAGCTCCATAAAGATCAGTGCGTTAAAATCTTAGATATCTAACAACCAAAGTCTTTGCCAATGGTCATTCAGCTGAGTGAGGGGATGAACAAAGGGGTTAAATACCAATTAGCTGTATTACTCAGCATTTTTAAGACTATAGATCAGCCTGGTAATTCACATTGCCTCCTTTGCATTCAAGGCTAATGCATAGAAACAGAGACTAAACATTTGCTTGAAAAGCATTTTTCACAACCCCTCCCCTGTTCTCATTTAAAAAGCAACTGCGAGCGCGTGTCTCTGCTTTAATAATCCCACGTTCTGCTTTGTGATGAATGACTGCAACACCACAAGATCCTTTCGTACATCTTCCTGATGATCAGGCAAACAGAATGTCAGCTTTGATAAACAATTCTTGAATTATTTATGCTAGGCAAGCACAGGTGCTTCTACACAGACTATAGAGTTTCCAGATCTTTTAAATGAATAAATAAGTGTAAATATATGAGTATATTGAGTATATGAATAGATTGTTGCAATACTCATGAAAATATGTTTTTAAAAATCTCACTCCAACAGGTACTTCTGCATTTCAATGGCTGTGCCGGTGCTCATATATATTCAGCATATATAGCAAAAAATGTGTGTACGTGCATTTTACAGGCCATGTACGTGTTATGTAAAACATGACTTTACTAAAATGAGTTCACTAATATTTGATAGTGCTGAATCATACCTGCTAGACAGACAGCCATATTGGCATCTGTTCTTGCCATTTTAAATAAATAAATACATACATGCATTTATTAGAAATACACATTTTTCATTTATATTATCTGTTAAAATAAGAATGAATTTTATTATAAAGTTATTATCAATTAATAGGTTTCAATGGTTATATAGAATACAGAACTGAAACTTGCATAATATATATATATTTTTATGTGGGTTGCTAATATTAGATTTTTTTGATTGGCCAAACAATTCTCAGCGAAGATCAATAAGACAGAGCTGCCATAGCTTATTCAATGTGCCACGTTTCATGTTGGTCTGGTTTGACCAGAGAGAATTAGCCTCAGGTTGTGAAGATAACCATAGGTCATCTCTAATCTGGGTGTATTTTTATCCTCTATCCTCACTATACTACACTTCCCAAAGTTTCTTTAATGAGCTCTCATTGTAAGAGTCTGTCTCTCAAAATAAAGTCACAAGCAGACAGGAGGCACAGAAATACTGTGGATAAATAAAAGTGGACTGATTTCCGCACAGACTGCCAGGCTTACATAATAGAGACACATAGTACAGTCGTGGCCAAAAGTTTTGGCAGTGATATAAATTTTGTGTTTTGCAAAGTTTGCTGCTTCAGTATTTGTAGATTATTTTCTTTCATCCTTTTATAGCAATCAGTCTGCTCTTACAATCTATTTAGTATTATAGTGATTTTACATGACTAGTACTCATTCACACTTTCACATGTGCTGCTGATATGATTAGTCAATTAATGTTAACTTTTGGCGATGACTGTAGAGTTTCCTGGCACCACAAACCATTGTCCCTGCAATAAATGTTACTTAATACAATCTTATGAATGCAGACAGTCACTTTACTACACCACGCCACTGGCCTTGAGAGATTATATTTATAAATAAGATTTGCTTTTCCTGTATCTTTCAACTGACACGTCTAAAAGGTCTTTGACAAAACTTAAAGCCTTTGCCACCCACCACAACTAGGGGCACTTGACAAAAAATGTATTTCAAAATTTGACCTCTGAAAGAGCAGTCACTTTGTTTCTATTTTCAATGCGAGTAGCCCCGAAGAAGAGATTGCATCTGATGTTTGGAGAGGGTGGTAGAAAAAAACAAATACCTCTGGCTAAAGCCCTTTCCACATGTCACAAATTATAACATCAGCCATCAGTTTGTTTAGCCTTAGCCATGTTATCGCACTCAGATCTTAAACGCAACAGCAATCAGTTGGGTTAGCCAGAAACTGTTTCTGTATCTTTCAACTGACACGTCTAAAAGGTCTTTGACAAAACTTAAAGCCTTTGCCACCCACCACAACTAGGGGCACTTGGAAAAAAATCTATTTCAAAATTTGACCTCTGAAAGAGCAGTCACCTTGTTTCTATTTTCAATGCGAGTAGCCCCGAAGAAGAGATTGCATTTGATGTTTGGAGAGGGTGGTAGAAAAAAACAAAATACCTCTGGCTAAAGCCCTTTCCACATGTCACAAATTATAACATCAGCCATCAGTTTGTTTAGCCTTAGCCATGTTATCGCACTCAGATCTTAAACGCAACAGCAATCAGTTGGGTTAGCCAGAAACTGTTTAGCTAGAAAAAGAATAATTTAAATATAGGCCTACATATTATATATTTTTTCAGCTAAAAGTAGTAATTCAGCCCTAAAATACAAAAAAGAAATGGTGAAAATGTAATCATCTTCAGGCCATCCAAGATGTAGATGAGTTTATTTGTTTTGATGAGGATGTTTTTATCAGCTGTTTGGACTCTCATTCTGACGGCACCCATTCACTGCAGAGGATCCATTGGTGAGCAAGTGAAGTAATGCTAAATTTCGATGAAGAAACAAACTCATCTACATATTGGAAGGCACAAGGGTGAGTAAATTCTCAGCATATTTTCATTTATGGCAGAATTGTTCCTTTAACATGGAATTAAAAAGAAATGGATTGCGTTTGCATGTCCATGTTGAGGTTTCGCTCTGACAGAAACCCTTTTCTGTGCTTGTTCAGTTAATTCTACCATCCTGCACATTTCCAACATTGTGCTGCGTTCGGTTAAATATCACTGAATCTAGCAGAACAGATTCTGCTACCGTCATTAGTCTAAAACTGCTATTAGGCTGCAAAATCCGTTTATTTAGCGGCTCTAAATGACTTGGGAAGCACTTCTAACCTAAACAGCTTGGGCCAGATGTGAGCCCTTGCAGGTAGCTTCACCATCAGTCTTTGTCCACTACAGGTTTAATGCTCTCAGCTGGAAAAAAAAATGAGAGCACAGACAAAAACGCAGATGAAGAAGTCAAGGACTTGATGGTCTTGCAATACATAGACCTACTCATTGAAAGTTGATGACGCAGGACCTGAATCTGTTAGGTTTATATAAAATATTTGTTGCTTAGGATATTTCTGTTTTACTACCTTTTTCTGGATCATTTTTGTTGCATTATACGAAAGCTCCGGTAGCTCTGCTTTATTGACATAGTAACAAGGTCAGATGGGAATATTCTCTTGCATCGTCATTGGATGGTCAGTACATTGGATGGTATAAGACGGGGCTTTACTGCATCTGTGTGGCATATGCCACTTACTCAATCACTCCTCTAGCAGGATATTTGAAATCCTCTCCAAAACATGTCTCCAGATAAGGCGCTAATGAAAAGGGAGCGATGCTGTTTTGTCATTCACTGCGTTTCTTCACTTCTTTGCTGCATCTAGGGCTGGTCAATATATTGTATACGGGAAATATATTTCAGATTATTTTGTTGGAGATATAAAATTAAGCAATATTGTGAGCACAATGATTTAATGCAATGATTTATTGTCATTCGATGTTTTAATACCAAAAGCTATATATATATATATATATATATTTCACATTATTCCTGCCTTGGTCAATATAATACAAAATAAATACAATACAATACAATAAAAAGAAATATATCTTACAGAAACTTTTGAATTGTAGTGTTGGTCAGTATTGCTGCTTATTTTTGCTTCTGTGCACGAATCATATAAATGAAAATCAAGTAGGCCTATTCTTCAGTAGTTTATTACGTCAGAAAGATTTTAAATAGGCAGCAATGGCTGTTTGGTCTAAATTATGGTCCCTCTGACTAAAAAAAAACACCTGTAAATGAAGAGATATACTGAATATTTAAAAAAAAATTACAAAAAATACCCAGCCCTAGTTGCATCAAACGTTCTGGCATGATACATAATGACATACAAACACAGAAATTGGATTACCATTAGCAGCATCTTACTGCCAGCTGTTTTCTCAAGTACAAGCTTCCTGCTAGCGGGCACTGTGAAGAAAATGTGTCTGTTAGTGTAAGCAATCACACCCAGTGCATTTAGCTGATTTGTAACCAGAAACAAGAGTTCAGTCATCCAATAACACTGATAAATTGGTCCAATAAAATGTGTGCATACTGCTGCAGCCTCCCTTTGTACACAAAGAACAATGCAATGACAGTTCAAGGTTGGAGGGGGGCTGTATGCATACAATGAACCCACTGTTCTGAGCAGAGTGAGGTCGGTGTCTCTCACATCCAGTGGGCAGAAAAAAATTAAAATAAATGATGAAATGACCCAAACAAATTGCTAAATATAAAAAAGACACTTAGCACTACTTCTACTGCATGAATTTTTGATTTAAGTCTATGTATTATTTGAATTCTGTTGAATAGAGGCATTGTCTAAGACTTTAACAATATGCAAATAGGGTAATTAAAACCCAGAAGAACCTCTGGTGCTCCTCGTTCACCGATTTGACTGTAGTTCTTGGAAAGAGAACACACATCATCCTGGAAATGATACTGGCAGGGAGAGACATGTCCCAGTTTTGGCTCATAATGCCAGCTAGATGCTGGACTGGCAAAGCTCCCATCTGGTTGACTTCAGCCATTAACCGAAAAATTGCTGTCATTATTAATTAAAGTTTATGTTGTAATATGGATGTGAAACACTTCAATTCACTTTATTTAAAGGCCTGATTTTGGCCAAACTCTGACAGCATCAATTGGGTATTATAGACTATATAATGAATAATTTGTTTTATTTGATAATGTTTACTTGATTATGGTGTTAAAATGTAGTACCTAAAAACAATTGTGATTTTGTTTTTGCTTGTTAATTTATTACGACATGCCATTGTTTTAGTTTAATTTGTGAACATGGTATCAAAATGAGTAGAACCATGAAATCTCTCTCATGTTGGTATACTGAAATTTTGACATTGTGACAATGTTAGGTTTTAAATATTAGTACCCTTGAGCATAATTTTGTCATTATGTGTTTAATAGACATACTTTATGCAGTGATTTCCTAATGGTTTCTCAGGAAACCAGAATGTTTTCTTTCAATTCCGATTACCTAAAATGTATTTATTTATTTATTTTTTTCAAAATTAATTTATTGCAAATTAGATTTAGGGGCGATCAGAATGCCCTCAAAATTGAATTAGACTGCACGGTGAATATTTCCAGCTATCAGATAAATGCAGTACAGCGCTGCCAGATATTATGAGAGCCTAAAAGCATCACAAGCTGTCAAAATAAGCCCAATAAGCTGTTTGTGATGAAAAGCTCCAACAACAGTTTATTTCATTTTGGCAACAGATAAGTTATAAATATAGGATTTAAGAAACAATGGCATATTGTAATGTTTGATGCATTTGGACAAAGTTGCTAAACCAAATAGATCACATTCTGAGGTGTATATATCTAAAAATCTTAACGCATCATATTTGTTTTTTTGTTTTTTTTACAGAGTACACACTATAAACCAGTATGCAAATTTTTAAGACTGGAATTGCGAGCTGGAAAAAGCTCTGGCTTTGCTAGTGCTAGTGCTACATAACTGCAGTATAATATAGTCAGAATAGTCGCTGGACCAGTTTGCAGGTGGTTGTTTCACCGCATGCAAAGTTTGCAAATTTGACTGTGTTATATCGGGGATGCGTGTTTCCATACAAAACATGGCATAATTCAGGAAAATTAAAATGCTGTGCTTGTTTTTCTCTGTTAGAATAGAATATTGATTTAAAAAAAAGACATTTATACTGTTACAAAATATTTTTATTTAAAATAAATTGCTCTTTTGAACTTTCTATTCATCAAAGAATCTTATATATCAGTTTCCACAAAAATATTAATATTAATGTTGAAAACAAGAAATATTTCTTGAGCAGCAGATCTGCATATTATAGAATGATTTCTGCAGCACGATGTGACACTGACGACTCGAGCAGTGGCTAAAATATTTTTAAATAAAATATAGAAAATAATTAACAATATTACTGTTTTTACTGTATTTATGATCAAGTAAATACATCCTCGGTGAGCATAAAAGACATCAAAACAAAACATTAAAAAAATCTTGGGTAACACTTTTTTTAAGGTGTCCTTGTTACACATATTACATGTACTTACTATTATAATAACAATTAAATATGCATAATTACATGCAAGTAACCCTAAGCCAAACCCTAATCCTAACCCTAACTATATTGTAAGTATATGTAGTTAATTAATATTACTCAGTACTTAAATGTATAATTACACTGACTGTAACTTAAAATAAAGTGTAACCAAATCTTGTTAGTGTACATATGAATATATAGTTTGGATAAAATGATATGCTAAATAACCACTTATATACAGCATATAGGTTTCATAGTTTGTTCTGATATTTTCAACAAATTATTTTTTTTAAATACTGATGTAGTCTGACTTGGAATATGCTTCAAATTTAAACCTCAGTCACTTATATAAAATTGTAAATTCATCAAAATGACAGGTCATCATGAAAATATACTGTGAGCAGAAGGTCACGCTAAAGGTTGACGTGAACGTTTCTTTGGACTTTACTCATTTTTTGCCATCTCATTCCTTACAGGAAGAAGTCCTTCCTCTTCTCTGCACTCTACGCTGCCTGCATACTCGGTGGGCGGCATGTAATGAAACAAAGGGAGAAGTTTGAATTGAGGAAACCTTTAGTACTATGGTCTTTAACACTTGCAGCCTTCAGGTAAATATGTCTATTGGTAAATGGGTCATGGATCATGCATGCAAATCTTTAAGGGTGTATCTATGGGTGTTACATGCATCTATCCATTTGCCTACAACACCTGTTAATGCTAAAACATATTTGCTTACTTAACACACTGCAGTGCTATAAGTGACGGAAATTAAAATGTAACATGTAAATTAACAATATGTAAAGTAATAACCCATGTAGGCCATTATTCATAGAGGTAGGCCTATTTCTGAAGCTTTTACGGCACATTAAATCAGATGTCATAATGCAATGGCAGTGCAAGATAAAACCAGTTTGCTAACAGATTATAGTTTAAAATACTTAAATCAGTCAGAATGAAAAGACACTTCACATTTCTGTGATGTGCACTTTGTGTTTAAAGTGATGCCGTTTTGCACATTACAATACACTGTAGTGAATACTGTGCATTTATAAATTGTTTCATGTTTTAGCAGATTAATGGTGTGCATTATAGCCAGAAAAACAAGCCACTTCCTCGTTCCAAGTTACTTCATAAAGACCTGCATACATGGTACATAAGAGGCCTGCATAAATAATTTCATATTGATCTTGCACCTTAACATGTCGTCTAACTTAACGATGTAACATATCTCCCTCTTCTATGTGTGGAGATCAGCACTATAGTGACTGTAGAAAGGTGGTGAGACAGACTACATCGCACTTCCAGGTTTATCACATGATCCAGCCTTTGGCAGCCACTATAAAAAACCTAAAACTGGAACCTGAGTGCCAAGTAACTGCCCAGCCACACCATGTAAAGTGTCAATAAATAAGCACACCCAATAAAAAATAAAGTATCGTTAGCCTTACTAGTCCTAACAGTTCAATAAAGCATATACCATTTTGTATCTGATTTAAAGTGTCTCTTTTGTTTTGTTGCACATCCTTGCTTCAGTATATTTGGTGCCATCAGAACTGGAGGCTACATGATGAACATCTTGATGACCAAAGGCCTAAAGCAGTCAGTGTGCGATCAGAGTTTCTACAACGGACCAGTCAGCAAGTTCTGGGCCTATGCTTTTGTCCTCAGCAAGGCACCTGAACTAGGTGAGATTATATGTCTATAGGTGCCATTTTATTTCAGTTTCATAGGTTAAGATTTAAGCTATTTTATATATTTGTTTGTAAGTAGAAATGTTCGATATATTGGTGTCGTACCTCTCAATATTTTTTCTTACAAAATTTTCGTTTGTCAATTTTGAATATTTAATTTTGCAATTTTTTCCACTTAAGAGTTTATCATTAAAAACAAAAATGTAATAATACTGCTACATGAAGGCTTTACAAAATCTCAAAATGAACATACATTTTTCATACTGCACATAAACGTATGATGCCTATATTCACTTGTAGCATTTAAATTATTGCTTTCCTTACTTTGTGATGCATTTTTAGTTCATTAAAACAAAATAGTTTTTTTTAAATCTGCCACAAAAATAGTTATTGGTTATAATTTGAAATAATTGTATTACCAGTACATGCTTTTTATAAAAAAAAAAGGTATAAATCTCAATACCACAAAACTTCAGTATCATCAACCTGAAAACATAAAACTGCTATCAAATTTCTGCATCACAGCACAGGCACAGTGTTATATACAGTATATATAAAATTAAAATTGAATTTTCATGTTTTTTACTCCCGACAAGCATTCTTAAAGTTAAGTACTCCTAGTCATATTGTACACTAATAATATACATGCAGATAGAAATTTACACCTACTACTTGTATAAAAGAGTGGGATCTCTTTCAATTAATACGTAGACCATTTTTTAGGAATGCTTTATCCATATAAAGCAAAACAGGACCAAAATATTTAGTGTTATAATGCAGCTTTTTTCAGTTGTAATTCTCTATTCTCACATTGTGGGTCCCGAAAACAACAGTTTATGTTAATATAGGACCACGGCAAAGTATAAACAGTTGTAACCACATTACAAGAGTTCCTCAACTCTATTTAAAACAGCTGTAATCCTTTAACACAGAAAAAGATTAAGTTCAGTTAAATACGTTCTGCCTCCTCGATGTAGCTTGCTCCAGTGACAAAGCACTACTGAGAAGCCTAGTGTTCATCTGCATGAATATAATTGGTTGTGAAAGCGTAACAGAATTTGTTAGCATGAACCTTGCAGCATAACCCAAAGTCTAGAAATCTAGGATAGTGGATCTATTTTCCGCCTGCCTGGGCCTATTGTGTTTGTCATGTCCTGCCGGTTAGTGGGCTACCAGGCCTATTGTAGAGACAAAAAGACAGCACTGAGACAACGTGAGGACCCTCCTAGGCACAGGCCAAGCATAATGGGTCATGATGTCACTGATGTACAGCAGGAGACATAGCAACATATATAGACTTTTGACCAGCTGCACATGCCCTCTGATATTAATTTATGGACAATTTAAAGTGAACAAGCAACAACAAAAAAACTCCTATTTTTTAAATTACATTTTTACTACTGTTACTTAGGATGCATTAAAAGTCACATTAAAGACTTTTATAATGTTACAAAAGATTTATATTCTTTTTTTTTTTAGGATTTGTTGACTTTATTCAGTAACTGTGTTTCCATCATAGTTTATGCATGTTTTCTCATCTAATACAAAAAAATGAAATAAATAACTGATCTGTCTTAATAGAGTGCATACATTTTTATGCACATTTTCATTTCCCGTATTTTTTCAATGCTATATCCTACGCAACATCATTAGCTGGGCTTCACTAACAGTTGTTTACTTACAACACCTTTAATGACTTAAATTGTAGCTTAAAAACTTTCAATGTCTACACTGTTTGACCTTGTTACATTTAGCCAAATAAAACTTGTTTTGTCTGCTAAATGCATTGGTCAACAACATTGCCCTGATTAGATATTCAAATATTCAAGGTCTAGAACATGCAAGTTCTAACTGAATGCCTTAATCTTTACTCACTAAATCAACAACACAATACTTTCACCATTTTCAGAGCCTAAAGAAAACGAAGATAGCATGTCAAGACAGCCATAGCAACCAGCGTTTATTCACCAAACAATTACGAAATATTTTACTCTCTCTATTCTCTACCTACATTTCTCTCACAATCAGTCTCTTGGCTCTTATCCTTCCAGGAGACACACTATTCATCGTCTTGCGGAAGCAAAAGCTGATTTTCCTGCACTGGTATCATCACATCACAGTTTTGCTCTATTCCTGGTACTCCTACAAGGACATGGTGGCTGGCGGGGGCTGGTTCATGACCATGAACTATCTGGTGCACGCCGTCATGTATTCTTACTACGCTCTACGGGCCGCCGGCTTCAAAATCTCTCGCAAGTTCGCCATGTTCATCACCCTGACGCAGATCTCCCAGATGGTGATGGGCTGCGTGGTCAACTACCTGGTGTATTCGTGGATGCAACAAGGCCAAGAGTGCCCATCCCACGTGCAGAACATTGTGTGGTCGTCCCTCATGTACCTCAGCTACTTTGTGCTCTTCTGCCAGTTCTTCTTCGAAGCCTACATCACCAAGACCAAATCCAATGCAGCCAAGAAAAGCCAATAAATCAAGAAAATGATTTTAAAAAATTTAATCAAGGAGAGGTGGGGAAAAACTAAATGGACCAATGATTGGTAGTGGATGGATGAGTCTTTACAGTTAGGGCTTATGAACTTGCAGAAGAAAGAAGCAAAGACAATGAGGGGCTACTATCAAAGCTTGTGCATACTGTACTACTAACGTATAGAAATAAACCTCCCCGCCACTAGGGAAGCTCTATTGAGCCGCACTGAGAAATCATTACGATTATATCAGTTGAACAAAAAAAATGTGTCTTTATGTAATGTTTATGTGCCCAATACAATTCTCTGTATTTAAAAAAAAAAGTGTATAGATTAAAAAAAAGGGATGCAAAATAAATTAAAACAGAATTAAGTCGTCAAAATGGACTGGGACATTTTGAAAAAGGAACTTATATGGATAGAATTAATATTTGTGTGGTTATGTCTAAACATTAAATGTTACTGTTGCATTTTTATTTTTATTGATTAGATAGATCGTGTGCGGTAGTTTTGTACGAAAGCCATGTCAATGGAAGACTGGTAAATGTTGAGCTAAAAATGCCACAGTGTGTTCTGTGTTCTGTGTTCAGCGTCGCAGCACCAAAATTCTCTCAGGTCTTAAGAGTTTTCCATTTGATGTTCAGATCATTTTAGAAATAAAAAGAAAACTAAACAAAAAAGCAAAATAGTCAAGGTAGTCAAATAGGCCTGAAATGTTAATGCCATTGGGTTACTCATACACACAAGCAACCACACAAGTAAATAAAAAATAAAATAAAATAAAATGAAAGGGGACAAAAAGACCAATGAAGGCCATTTTGAGAGGACACTGGGGCCAAATGATCATCAGAACACCTGAGGCCCGTGTGGAGTATGAATCATTGGACCTCTCTGAATCTGTGTTTGTTCTGACCTCTGAAAGGCCTGCTGGTCTTCTTCTCATGGCTTAAGGTCATCATTATCATCCATTCCAAAGGCCGATGGCATAGAGAGTCTAGCCCTGCCTTAAGGACCATGAAGTCAAGCATACTTAAACAAAACGTCTATATCACTGTAACAAATCAGAATAATCTCTGTCACTGAATGGTGTCCTTTGTGCTCTTGTGCATTTGCACTGTATACATGTAAAGCATCTACAGACGATTTTAACAAAGAGCCAAGAGTGCTGAAATAATCACGTGTCTGTGTTTTTTCATTCGATTTCTCCTTGTTTACCCTGGTAGGACTGTGTGAGAGATTCTGGTACATATTTTGCTCTCGACTCTGCAGGAAGGAGATCTGAACTGTCACTCTTGCTGTGAACAGGCTCAGCAACATGCCAGATGGGAGCACTACTGCCTCAGCCACAATGACATAAGACATAAGTTCAGACTGCCCTGGTTTCTAAAGCCATACTAAGCAGCATGTTATGCATGTCTACTGGGTTGGAGCAGTAAAAGAATGACAGAAATTATGCCAACAGACATTTTAAACCATATGGCAATAGTCTGTTGAAAGTACTATGAAATTGCACTGATCAGAGGTCACAGGCCAGTTGAAATTTGACACATATACACATCACATAACGCCATATTTGACTGGAAATCTTTGGATGATGTAACTACAGGAGATAAAGTGCAATGAATACTGCCTATTGTTAGTGCTGGATAATATGGATCAAAGTTTGTAGGCATTAGATTTGAAGTCGGTTTGTTGAGTTTTTCCACTACTTAACCTCTAAAAGCTTGTATCTCCAAACAGACCACAAAACCTCATTAGCATTGCATTATACACAGCTATTATACTAAGATATTCTTTCACTGTTATGCGTAACTCTGGATGTCCATGAAATTCCTACCAGCAGGGCAGAGGTGACAGTTCTAATGACTCCAGAACAGAAATTTATGGGAGCATCTTTTAGACACACTAACACAACATGCATTGGATAAATGTATATCTTAATACCTTGATTATTTTATTTGATGAAATTGCTTTTTGGCATTATAACTCTTTTGCATTATTCTTAGACATTGGTTCTCAACCAGGTGACTCCCTAAAGGGCCTTTGCAAACATACAGGAATTCTAAGTCTTAGAATGCTTAAAAAACACAAAGATTAGAACATTAGAAGTTCACAGAACAGTAGTTCACTGACAAGCTAGGCAATATCGCATTCATAATCGAATGCGATTCATCTGCGATTATGAACGTGATATTGCCTAGCTTGTCAGTGAACTACGACTCAGTTTAGTAAATGCCGCTCCTTCTGAAAGCAGGTGATGGAGATTTACTACCAATCACGGAACCGGCTTTACTGACGAGATGCGCATGACAATCGCATGCGATTAATTGCACAGCCCTACATTAAACATAATGTTGCATATGCTTACGTATATCAGTCACGTATCAGCTTATAAGCTTAAAGACTTTGTCTCAGACAAAGCGGGGAGCTGTAGTCAAAAAGGTTTGGCATTTTAAATGAACAAAACAAAATGCCAAACAAAAATAGCGACCAAATCAAAAGCATCCACCTTATACAAGTCACAGCTACAGTATGCAAAAAAATCCCAAGTAACCATTTTAGTGACACAGACACAATAAGAGTGTGCTTGAAACAGTGTGCATTAGTGCAGAGGTAGTTAGATTTGGAAATCATTTCAACATACTGAAACTGAATGAAATGGGTTTCGTAAATCATTGCTCATACATATTTTGCATGTTCAAATATGTTCCACGTGAGTGATCAGAAGTCAGGTCCTTTTACAGTTTTACTTTCCTGTTAATCCAATGCATACTTATTGCTATTGAAACAAGAAAAACCTGGTGAAAAGGTCAAATTACTTAAGTACAAGAAAGAAAACCAATATGTGAAAACTGTTCCATCTAGACAGGCATTATATGTATATTGCATATTCTTATGCAATACTTAACCTCATCTATATAATATACAATACTTCCCTAGATAATATGTTCTCTAAAGTCTAGATCTAGTGTCATTGTCAGCTGAGATATTTCACTTGTGACATCCAGAACATATATTTCATTCTCATCTTTGCATTTCAGTCACGTGTATGGCAATAAAGTTTATTTGACTCACTCACTGCCCTATGGAGAATGCCACAAAAAGCCTTAGGTCAGATGTGCCATGCTCTGTCTGGCTCACAAAATATCAGTTATCATTTTGAAAGGTCAAAGACTCCACAGACTGTGTAGCATGTCAGTCAGGACTGGTACGGGTTTAAAATTGTACTGCTTCCAGACATTTGTGCATAATTCAAATCAAAAAGCAACTGCAATTAAAGAAAATACAAAATCTGCAAAGTTGAAAAAGCTTGCATATAAATACAAATGAATGACTAGCTAATCTCATATATACTTTAAAAAGGGCATACACTATGTAAGTTCAGAATGGAATACTAGCCAACTAACTAAATAGTGTGCACTTTATACAGCCTACTACTTATTAAAAATAGTAAGTGAAACAGCAAATTATTAAAAAATAAATAATAATAATAAAAAGTAGTATGCTACATTGCCACACAACCTTCATGTTTGATTTAGTAAGTGGCATCCATTCAGAAATGTTCTTCTTCTTTTTTTCATTTTTGATTTTGCATCCAGGAGCCTGATCAAATATGATTTTTTTTTTTAAATCCTCCTTAATATTATGTCTGGTTAAATGACACAGGGAATGGGAGGTCATTTTAAGGACACTGCATTACGGGAAAAAGACTGTTTCATAACCTCATATTCACACTTCCTTGTTACAGTGCTGAAAGACTTGCAGTAGATCTTTCAAAACTAATAAAAAGTAGGACCAACCAAACGCAACACAAAAAACAAATCATCATCATCATCATTATAAAGAAACTGCACAAGCAACAAATAAAACCTGCCAGCTACAGCAACTTTAAACAATCTCAGTCACAAAAAGTTGTACATATCATTATCAAAAGCAAGCCTAGTGAACTTCTTTTAACTGCATTGTGAGTCACTTCATTGAAAACCTGGGAGGAAATGATAAGAGCACCAAACAAGCACGTGTTTCATAGCGTACCTGTTCCACATGTTCCTCAATGCTCAAAGGACTGTTTACACCTGCAAAAGCGTACTCACGCCACCTCTTGACCAATGCTGTTTGACATCGCCCCCTACTGGAAAGTTGATACTCATGCAAACTCGCTCTAATTACGAGATATTACTACAGAAACAAATGTATTTTTAAAGTATTTTTCATTGCTGTGCTTTATTGGTGGAAATAATGGTTGTGGATGCAAGATACAAATGCAGCAAGTGAATCTGTAAGTATATATTAATGGTGCATATGGACTGCAGTCTATAAGAAAATTCTATCTTTTTTTAAAACCTTTTTTTTTTTTTTTTACAAATAATTTAAAAAAAAAATCACAGTATATTATATATGGATTTTTGTTGATTAGTCTTAGTATGTTTGTTTATATATTTCCATTGCACACATATTTATCTCCATTTGCCCTCAAATATGCTACAGTAATGCAATAAGGGTTCATTCATACCTGGATATGACTTAAATGTGGACTTAATCATTTACCCCTCATCAGAAATGTAAATACAAACTAATAGTTCTTCTGAAAATAGTCTTAAAGTTTTATTTTACATAGAACTCATCGCCCCCATGGGCGCAGACATGTTAAGAAATTAAAAACAAATAATTTTAAAAAAAATCACAGTATATTATATATGGATTTTTGTTGATTAGTCTTAGTATGTTTGTTTATATATTTCCATTGCACACATATTTATCTCCATTTGCCCTCAAATATGCTACAGTAATGCAATAAGGGTTCATTCATACCTGGATATGACTTAAATGTGGACTTAATCATTTACCCCTCATCAGAAATGTAAATACAAACTAATAGTTCTTCTGAAAATAGTCTTAAAGTTTTATTTTACATAGAACTCATCGCCCCCATGGGCGCAGACATGTTAAGAAATTAAAAAGTGGTTAAAAGTTGCAAGTGCCAACTTGATTATACATAAAATATATGAAACATCCAGTACGCAATATTGAACGCTTTTGTCATTAATTTATAAATTAATCATGACTGAACTGCAATTATCGTATTTCACCAAATGTGTCAGTAACCGATAAATTTGCATATGCATAATATAAATTTTAAAAAATTACAAAGCACACTTTTTAAGTTGGTATAATAAATTTGTGATAATAACCTTATATTTTCAGACTACATCTATATACTGCATTAGCCATAGACTCTAAATGAGCTCAAACACAACATGGCACTCTCTCAGAGTCCCCAGCTCACTGTCTGACAGCTCTGTTAGGGGACTGACGAGCATCCTCGTCGATAGAATTGAGCCTTAAGCACATGTGCCTGTGCCCAAATTCATGCATTATCCCTTGCACTAAATCTACTCAAAGCCTAGCAAAGCAGCACGGCTCTGGGCAGGTCACAGGCCACAAGGGTGCTACGCTGACCTGGAGGATCAACAATAAAGCCTTTGAGTGGGCATCTAATGCCTTATTTAGTCTCCTCATCTGTGCACCTTTTGGAATCACCACAGACCAACTGCTCCCCTGTCTGATGGGAGGGAAAAGGATGGGGAAAAAAGAATGCTGAAAGCGAGACCCTGATCCGTTGTTGCAGACCAACCGCAAACACCTTTGTTCACACACTTTTCCTCTTTCCCTCTCTCTCTCTCGACATCTTTCTCT